CCCGCAAGCGCCCCGGCCCCCCAGAACTGCGGCCTGGTGTCCGCGCGTCCCTGTCCCGGTGCCCTTGGGAGGCCCAGGGCGGGGGAGCCACGTGGGGACCCACCGCCTTTACCCCCACCTCGGGGCTGCTATTCCGGGCGCCGCGGTCAGGGCCAGGGAATGTGCGCGAACCGAGGTCGCCCTGCTCTGGCTCCGGGCGGGCGCTGCCCTCTTTCCACCGACGCCCAGATTGCGTCCCCACGAAGGTCCCCTTTCCCAGCCACTACCCCTCCCTTTTCCCTCTCCCCACCCCTCCCTCAAGGTCACGTTACTCAGGAACCCACGCGCCTGGGTTCCGATCCTGGGGCTTCCACCACCCCCAGCGCAGGGCCCCAGAGTTCTGGGGAGAAGCTCAGCCCCAGGGGCCAGGCGTGAGGGGTGGAGAGCCCCCTCCCAGCCCGGCGCATTCCCGGGCGCTGCTGTCACCAGAGGACGCGCCCTACCCAACCTCCCGCTCTCCCCGCCGGCCCCGTGCTGCAGGGAGCGACTTCGAACTAGACCCGGGTCCAGAAGGTCCTCGTGCCACGTGACTGTGGCCTCACCCTCCCCGACCTCAGGTTTCCCATCCAGGCAATGGGGCCAGCGGGGGTCTCCACCCCGATGACACCTCCAGGTGGATCTCAGCTCTTGGCGCGGACCAGCAAGGACAGGGTTACTTCAGGGCTCCCCACTACCCCCCTTTCCTGGTTTTGCATCTGCGCGCCACCTCCCCCCGCCCACGCAGGGACTCAGCCAGCGCCCGCCCTCTTCTCGCCCTCTCCCCCAGCTCCTCCCTGTTGCCCCGTGATGCTCGGTGGTGAGCAGGTTGAGGACAAGGAGGCATCAAGAGGGTGATGGGTGGATTGCCCTTCTGCTCCCTGGGCTCAGCCGGGGCTCAGCTTGAGTGCCCCCTCCTCCGGGAAGCCTACAGTGAGGTCTCCAGTCCCTGACAACAGGGAGGGGGTGTTGCCTGTCCACTTTTGTCTGGCCTCCAGCCTAGAGCAGCTCAGAGCAGGGCCACTCAATGCCATTCATTCATTCAGCACTTACTGAGCACTTACTGTGTACCACAGCTGTGAACCCAGCCAATCAGGCTTGTGAGTGAGGCAGCCCCCGGGAGCGTATAATCCTACCTTCTGACCAGGATGCTCTGAAGAAAAAGCCCGGACCCACTGCAGATAGGGTAGGGGATCAGGAAGGCCCTCACCGAGGAGATGATTGACACAAGGAGGTGGGGGAAGGGCAGCCCAGGCAGAGGGAACAGCATGTGCAAAGGCCCTGAGGCTGGAATAAGAAAATAGAGACAGGAGGTTGGGGTGGGTGGAGATGAGGTCAGAAAGGGGTGGGGGATGGGAGAGGGTGCTCTAGTTTTGGGAAAGCTGACCCTGGCTGCTGTGGGGGCAAGAGTGGGGACCCAGAAAGCAGTGAGGTGTGTTGGTGGCAGGGGCAGTGCAGGTCATGTGGGTGGGGGTGAGAGCAGTGGGTGGCTCCCAGCTGTTGAGGAGTGGAGTGGAGTCTGCAGGCCTTGCTGACAGATCCCAGGGGGTAGGAGTTGGGAGGAGGCAGGCAGGGGCTTGGCCTGAGCATCCTGGGAGGGGAGGTGCCCCATTCACTGAGGGGAGCAAGTGGGGGCCTGGTGGAGGGAGGACAAGTCCCGAGGTCACTTCTGGATGGGTCTAGGATGAGGTAAGAAGAGGCTTGGAGCCCAGGGGCCATGTCTGGCTGGAGATGGACAAATGGGTGTCCTCTGCACACAGGGGTGTTTAGCATCGTAGATGAGGCCACAGGGTGTGAGTGTGGACAGAACAGAGATTGGGGCCTGAGTACCAGACGTCGGGGCGGGGAGCAGAATGGGTGGGCGTGGGGTCCCGGGAGGTCAGTCACAGGAGGATGGGCTTCTGGGAGGAGAAAGGGCAGCCTGGGTGGGGAAAATGAGGCTGGAGAATGGACCAGGGCCCGAATATCAGAATCAATGGAGGTAGTGACCTGACAAGGTTAAGCCTGGTGGGACAGTGCTGGAGAGAGGACGCAGGACAGGCAGTGGGGACGGTGTGGGCAGGCGGCCTCGGCGGAGCACCTACTGTGTGCTGAGTTCTGGACTAGGGCCTGAGTGGCATCTGGAATAAATCAGGCTTGGCCAGGAGCTCCACCAAGCGGACAGACACATCCACCTCAGATGTGCCTCACTCCCCAAGCCCCAGCCCTCAGAGCCATGCAGGGTGTGCAGACAGCGACATCTGTCCTGTGTGGAGCAGGCCCAGCAGGCATGCCGCTCCGCAGGGATGAATGCAGCAGGGACTGCATCTACAAAGATGCATACAGCAGACACTGCCCTGCAGAAAGTGTATACAGCAGGTACTGCATCCTGCAAGGAATGCATAAAGTAGATGCCGACCCTCCCACAGAGTGCATACAACAGTCAATGTAGCCTGTAGAAAGTGTGTACAGAAGTCATGGCACTCTGCGAGGACGGTATACAGTAGGCACTGTGTCCTGCGGGAAGTGCACACAGCCCGCACCATGCTC